TTTGGATAATTCCAGCCAGCCCCCTCCTTCAATATTTTTACGGAACATTATGTAATTCGGTTATTTATCGAACCAAATCGTATATTCAGTTCGGTAAACGGTATGAAATGTTGGCATACCGAAATTTTGGTTCGATTTTACCGATTTAACATCCCTAAATTTATCTCTGGAGGGGTATTTTCGTAAGATAATACATAGTTGAGGGGGTGGCTGTAATTACCTAAACAAGAGGGGGGTTTCGTAATTTGACCATAAATCAGGGGGTGGCCGTAATTTACCCTAAAATTAAATTATAATAAATAAGAAAATAAAAAAGGTGGATATGGAAAATTACGCGTCCATGAATAATCCGGCGTCGCTAAGGCACTTGACTTTAGTACTTAGAGGAAATAAAGTACGAAACTCGTCACAATGTAGTATAGAAGCTAAACCACCGGCAGAGCAACCGGAGAGAAGGGCCTGAAAGCACAATACATATTATCATGCAAAAATTAAATCGAAGAAAGACGAAATAAATAATTAAAAAAAAAATGTTTTTAGTAACGATGATTACTTGGTTTGCACTGTGCATTCCCTTTGACATTAGATCTTCCATTGAAGCTAGCCATATGCGTTGCCCCCTAAACTGCAATCCTGAAGCCTGAAAAAAAACGGGAACCCGGAATATAAAATAAAAAATATTTAAATATGAAAATACATATCCAAAAAATGGGAAATAAAAAATAAAAAAATAATACCTTATCTTCACTGTCACCAGCAAAGGAAGCCCCGTCACAGTAGCGTATCTTTACTCTATTCCAGTTAAAAAAATCTGAATATATATCGAAAAAATTAAGATGTGGTCAAAAAACAAATGAGTTGATGCATACTATACAGATTTTTTTATTTTATTTTGGAATATAATACTAATAATAAGAAAAAAGAACCTGGATTTTCTTCAGCTCTGTTGCTAAGTATCCCGGTGAATGGATATTGTTTCTCGAAATAAGTCGAAGATCCACGGTGCGTTGTTTTTCGGTAAATACATGATTTAAGATTATTGCACCACCCTCCACCCTGCATTAAGCAGTGATTAATTATTATTAAATATATTTATGGGATTATTAATCTCAATTGCATTGTGGATACTGTACCTATAAATGAAAAAAAAAGCATGGAAAAAGACAGTGTTCGAGTTGGTATATATTTATGGGATTATTAATCTCAATTGCATTGTGGAATAGTGTACCTATTAACGAAAACGAAAAAAAAAAAGACGGAATTTGTGTATGTAAAGATTAATTCACCTCAAATTTATTTCTAGACTGCAAAAAGAAGCAAGCTTGTACATTACTTCAAAAAATTTAGCACTATTTTTCAGTGTTTATTGCATTTAACACCCCCGCCTTTTCTCTAATTGTCAAAAAACCTCAAAAAACCTATGATTCAATTTTATTAGCAAACTGCCCCGTAAAAATGGACCATTTAGCAATTCGGTTTAACATAGCGGGGTACTAAATGCAATCAACTCCTATCTTTCACATTTTCCGGAGCATCGATAATCCAAGAATCGAAGATACTGAAACTAGTGGGCCTCTTGTGTAAATTCTAAAGAACGGTGGGCCGTAAAACAAAAATTACAATTGAACTGTGTTTGAGAAGAAAATGCATTTTGCCCCCTATAAAATTATCAACTTTTCACTCCCCCCCCCCCCAAAAAATTCAAAAAGAGACGACCCCCTTTAAGATATTGTTCCGGTTGCACTCTGGCCCAAAACCCAATTTTCGGTGAGCAGGGCGCAACAAAAAATAATATTTTAAAGGGGCAACGTGCAACAAAAACACTCGACTCCCATGAATGAGCCATCGAAATTTGGCTATCGGGACAGCGTGCAACCAAAATAGCACTTTGCAGGGGATGCTCGTGAATTCGAAAATTTTAAAGGGTGTGAAGTGCAATTTGTCTTGTTTCGAACCCCAAAAAAATAACTGAAATTCCGTACGTCATAATTCGAGAGAAATAATGCAACAAACCTCTAGCTGAACGAGCCAACTGTTTGCGCCTGTACCGAACCCGCGATGCAAGTGGTAGCCAGGTATTGTTCCATCCAAACATACTGCACAAATTAATACCACAAATTAATTAGTCTTGCATTTCGAAAAATACACTTTTTGTAATATTTATTTATTGAAAACGGCATTTTAATTTTATTTTTAATACATATATTATATAGCAACAATTTATAGCCACCAGCAATACAGTTGGGCACAATTTAATTATACATGCGTTTGTTCCACTCATTATGTAAAGTAACATAATTGCTATATAACAAACGCGTCTCAATCAAGTCACTCAATATGATGTAACAAACCAAAATAAAAAATTTAAAAAAAAAAAGAAAAAAAAAATCTTTGCTTAATACATACAAAAGGAACTACAACTCTATTAAGTAATTATTTCTAAACACAAAATCGAGCTTATCGGAAATTAGGGTAACAAAATGCACATTCGTTGTAGCCTCACACCGCCGAC